TTTCAATAATTTCCGGGGTTAATCTATCGATCGCGTTGATAATATCTTTATCATCTTTTTTTGTAATCTAAATTGTTCGAGTCAGCAACATTTTTAAAGTGTTGAAACAAAACAAATATTTTCTTTTAACTCATTTTTTCAACTTCATCGAAAAAATACTCTACCACATCAAGAAGATCCGATTCGATCAATTTAACTTCATTATTGAAACTTTCAACCATTTCCTCCCAGTCATTCGTCGAGAAAAGAGATTTCATTTGGGTATTCTCGGTCAAATCAAGTATATTCCAATATGCGAGGCTATAAGTGAAAAAAAAAAATCCATAATTAAAAGAATCATCATCAAACATTCATATTATCTATCAATAAACCTACTTCAAACATTTTTGGGCCTCAAGAATCGTCTTGATGTAACTAGTCAATTTATCTCCTACGTTTGTACCACTACGGAGGACCCACGGACGCTGATAAGTTGACGAAATTGGCTTGAATTCTTCTATACGTTCCACGAAGTTAATATAACCATCATCGTTGCTGGTAACACCGTTACTAATCTTGTCATTATTTCCCTTGTTCATAGTGAATTCATCGATTTTATCCGTGGATCCCTTTTCTTCTTGATCTTCTTCACTTGCATCTGGATCTGGATTAGAGTTCGCGTTTTTTGATGATGGCCCATCCAGTAATAAAAATTATCCAACCTATTTAAGCATACTCATTGAAAGTCTTTTGATTTATTTTAAAAGATTGTGCCAATTCTTCCCGACGTTCAATACTAGGGTATTTTTCGTCTGATTCTTCTTCAAGCAACTTAATAACTTGGTTCGTTTGATTGCTGGTTGCAACACCCAGCATATCCAACGCAGAAGATTGTGTTTGGTTTTTCACAACTAACTGTTCAGTAAAACCGTTCATATTAATAACTAGTGTGATAATTCTATTAAAATATTCGAACCCAGATTTTCATACTTGTTTTGCCTTCAATGCCCTTTCTCGTTCGATTTGACTCCAATATTCTGATATTTCTCGTTTATTGCTCTTCCATAAAAAAGCGAACCATTCAGTATATTAGTTCATTTTCAAATATACAAGACAATTCCTATGTAAGACATGTTAAGAGCTTGCTACATATAGCTCCGAGGGCGTCACCTAACTCCAAGAGGTCAAGGGCGTCACCTTCCTCTCAGTGGTGCAAATATATAGGCAGGCTCGCAAAATGCTATGAGAGGGCGTCACCTAATAACCCTGGTAAAGGACGTCACCTTCCAAAGGCTTCATAGATTTTGCTGTTGGTATCAGGTAAGCAAAAACAGAAATACTTACGAACCTCTTTTATAAGGGAGATAGCAACTTCTCTTTTCTCTTGATCGCGACAAGTTTCAAATACTCTTACATTAGCCAAGAAACGTTTTCGTCACGTAGATTTTAATGAAAATATTGTTGCATAATCGTAGTAATATGGCTTCATTGCCTCCAAGTATCCAAGATAAGACCAATCGCCTGCGGGAGTTATTTCAAAGTACTGTGCACTAGCTGAATGAAAACTTACAAGTGAGACTAGCTTAGCAAAAAAAAGCAAGAATAACAAACATACCA